TCCTGGCTTTTTTGACCTTGTTTTGTTGCCTGAGATGCTTGCTTTTCTCTGTGTTTTTCACACAAAATAGGAGGACCTTTTGGAGCTGCAGGATCATAATCTTGCTACAACCATAAGAGAACAGCAAAAACGAGCACTAGAATTTTGGGGAAAAAATTGGGTAATATGAACCTATTTTATACTTCCAAATCTACCTTCTAGTATTGTCTAAGTCTGGACTTCTTTTTACTTATGTAAGCTGTTGCTCAATTTTAATACTGTCTTAATGACAGCATTCTGCTGTGCCCCTCAAAATAAAACGCCTTGCTCAAGAACCAGAGAGATTCTTTTGGGCATTGAGCATGGCGCAATCTCGATGTATTAACAAGCAAATAAGAATTGGTGCCCTTGTTCAAGATGCAAATATGCTTGTTCCTTATGCTGGTGAGCCTTTCTATTATTCTTTTTTTTTTTTTTTTTCCATATCTGTTCAGTATTTGTGGCAAATAGATCACGGACTCTGGTAAAAGAGATTCTAGGGCCTTTGATAATTTTGCACTTCTTTTTACATTTTGCGATAATAGTTATATCAACAAGACCAACGGATTATTAGAGTTTTATACCGTGCAAGATGAGACAATGGAAAATATCATTTATGAAGGCCTAAAAATTATCAAGCAGTTTTCAATTCATTTGGCTTCTGTATTTAGGAACGATGAAATTCAGTAATACAGTTGCGCTACTGCAATTTGATGAACAGAGGATCTTGGCTACCTTACAATAGTTCGTTGATTGAATATACTTTTTCTTATTTCTATAGATATGCTGAATCATTCCTTTCAGCCAAATTGTTTCTTTCATTGGCGTTTCAAGGACCGTATGCTTGAGGTGATGATAAATGCTGGACAACGAATCAGAAAAGGAGACGAGGTAATAATAATATGTTGGTTTTGTACATTGAGTTCTCTTTATACAAAATAGGACACTGTGCTACCATTAAACAAAACATTGAAGTTCTGTCGCTCGTTGAATGTCGATAATTGACATTTATGTGTGATATAGTTATGAAACCACATTAAGTGCATTACTAGCTACAGCCACACAATTCTTAATTTACAAGATGTACATATTCCTGTACTCTGATTAGCATCCTTCTCTAGGACAGATCTCTTCTTTTGGGATCTAGGTGCATCCTGTTGTGAACTTTTCACCCTGCCCAAGGGAAATAGCACTACTATTAGCTATAAGATGCTGTCTCAGAGCTTTCTATTGTCTCTGTAACATGGAAATCCTTGTATCTACCCCCAGGATAACCATGAAGTCAAAAATGCAAAGCAGGGCATGCTTTTGAAAAAAAAAAAACAAAACAAAACAAAACAAAACAAAACAAATAAAGAAATACTAACAGAAACAAAATATTTAAAGACAGACCATCAACAATTGGAAATAATGGAATCAGCTTTGGAAGGAAGCATTTTTTTTAAACAAAACATCAACATATTCTTAGCTGGTTTTCAGACGCCACTATGGAAAGCTGATGGGAGTTTGGATTCCTCAACCGTATATATAAAAACAAACCACGAGAGCAAGAGAAAGAGGACGTAAACCTGCACTCCCCAAACGCAAAAAGATGCGACATATCAAGGGACGTAATAAGAGGGGAAATACTACTTTCAATACAAAATGAGCAAATGAAAATCAAACTAGTGATCTCTAATACTAGAGGTCCATATCTATCTATTTGTGCAAGAGCTCGAAGACATCGTGGTAGTTCAAGGGGATCACATTCCTGATAATGGTGTTGATCTGACCCCTCAGATGCAAGTGAATCGGCTACCTTGTTCCCCTCTCGATAAGTGTGGGAAACAGTATCATGATCAATAGAGAGATGGTGTCTCATCTGCCTAAGAATAATCTAAATCGCCTATGGTCCTTCACCCCTAGTAATGTAGTGAACGGCCACATGGTTGGATGTAATCTTAATTCTGTTGAGCCTCTTCAATGTGAATATTTTTTTGGAAACATATCTCTAGCTCTCTGGGATGCTTTGCGCAAGCAAAGTGCAATTTATTTTGTTCTGATACTTTGTCATTTTCATTATCATGATACTTATACTGTTGTGGTACATATGTAGATGACTGTCAACTACATGGTTGGACAGAAGAATAACTTTTACATGCAAAGATACGGTTTTTCTTCACCTGTGGTAATTTTCTCTCAGCTGATTCTTCACAAGTAAAGTTTAGAGCTGCCCTAGTTTTGGTTCTTTATGACCTTTGATAATTTGGTCTCATGTCTCATCTACATTTCATAAAACTAAAATTATTCTACAACCGCTTCACCTGTCTAAATTAGTTTTTGTGTGTGTATATATATATATTTTATTTATTTATTTATTTATTTTTATTTTTTTTCTGTAGAGGTATAATTATGTCTTCATAACAAATGCCTCTTTATTGGATAATAAATAAACTGCTGCAAAAGATTAAGAAGCACTGTGCAGAACACTTGGTCCTCATGTTTATGAAGGAAGATATGACTGGAGTTTCGAAGGATCTACATGTTGCATGTGACTTATGGGAGGAAAATATAATGAGAGAATAGAAAAAATGATTTGGCATCTCAAACCTTCGTCTCTAATGAAGTTTATATATTGTACCTCTGTCGATCATTAAGCTAATGCATAGTTTAGGTGTCAAATTTTACTTGTTATAGTTGGTATTTTTCTCCCCAAGTAATATTTCTTTGGATTCAAACCTTCTTATATCTGACATGAATATTGCAGAATCCTTGGGATGACATCCGCTTCTCAGGCAGCACACGGATTCATTTGGATTCGTTCTTATCTGTCTTCAATATATCGGGCCTTCCTGAAGAATATTACCACAACTGTAATTTCACATAAACCTTCCTTTCTAGCCTTTTGACGAGTAACATATACTGCTGAATAGAATTTAGTTTGTTATTAATTTCATAAAATCGAAACAATATCGCAAAGCAGGTAAACTGTCAAATGACAACAACAGCTTTGTTGACGGGGCAGTCATAGCAGCTGCAAGAACATTGCCGACTTGGTCAGATTGGGACATCCCTCCTATACCAAGCATGGAAAGGAAAGCCGTGAAGGAGTTACAAGAAGAATGCCAACAAATGCTTGCAGAATTCCCTACAACTGCAGGGCAGGACCAGCAAATTCTCGGTAAGTTTCATTTGATAGATTTGAGTGTCAAAAATGCTTAAGTTGCACGAATATGGTTTCACGCTTTCATTGTATTGGTCAACAGAGGCCATGCCTGAAGCTAGGAGGACGCTTGAAGCCGCAGTAAAGTATGTAGTCTTACATAAACAGATTGCATGTAATGCATCATATTTGAACCAGCATTTGTATTCACCGCATTTAAAATTTTCTTAATATTCTCGTCGATGGAAGTAGGGGAGTTGGAGTATTGCAAATGATCCTGAAATTGACATAATTTTTGTTTGCAATAGTAATTATGTCGATTCCCTTTATTCAATTTCTTTCATGTATTAGCTCCATAAACAAAATATGGAAAGGGGCATGTTTCCAAGGAAATAAATAATATAAATAAAAAGGAGAAATTAATGTATTGAAAGAAAGTAAAAATGAAAATGTTTAAACATTTTTTTGTAGGGAAATCTTGGCAAGCATACAAGAATTTGGGAAAATTGAGGAAATGGATTACAAAATCATCCATGGTTAATCAATGTTATTGTCCTTAGTTGGGATCATTTTTTGAAAGTTTATTTCATTAATTCTAACGAATTAAATCACATTCCGTTGCCACCTAAATTGATGATATGATTGCTAACATTTGTTTGAGTCCTCTTTTTGTCAAAAAATTTTGTAATAGTAATTCGTTAAAAATGTGTTGTTAGAAGTAAGAAATTTTTAGAGTTACATGTAAAATTATTTTATTAAAAAAATCTGAGATTGAAAATAAATATTAAAAAGATGAGTTGTAAGGAACGGGGCTAATGGTCATATTAATTAATTTCAAGATTTGTTTTTAGAGTAATCATTTTCATCACACTGGTGTTAAACATCAATTTAAGGAACAATTATATAAAATTAAAATGATAGATTCATATAAATACAAAGTCACGTTACTCATTTAATTGAAACTATAAAGTACATTTATATAAATTAATGTTTTAACACCGTTGGTGCTAAATAACGCTACCTACTAATAATATGGAGACGGGAAGGGAAAACGAATGACAGTCCATGGTTTTGAAATGTTGTTGGCGGATCCACCAATATTCTATTTCTATGTATTTCCCCAACAAATTACACATTAACTCAGTGGAGGATTAAAATAGCAAAATTACCCTACTAAAATTTGTTGAACCCAGAATTCAATTGAAAGTTGTGCATTCAAAATGTTTCTTTCAAGTTTCAACAAGATATTGACATATTGTTATCCCTTTATTGTCTAAATAAAGCTCATTTTTTTATGGTCATTATTTTAAAAAAAAATGTTTTAAATAATGATTTTTAGGAGAATGTTTGGTTACAAAATAGGGAAATATTTTGAATTTACATGTAAACTATTTTATTGTATAAATATTTGGTCAAAAATAAGTAAAAAAGAATTTTCAAAAAATGACCATCAAATAGGGGTTAAATTTTCTGAAAAGATAAAAAATAAAAATAAAAATACTGAAATGGACCAAAAACATCAATGTCATAAACATAAAGGGTCTTTGTGCAAATTAATATTTATCTTCTAGTACTTCTACTTGGGGAAAACACTCCTCCAAGAAGCAACCTTTCTTATAAAGTGATGGCGATTCAGTTGAAACAACTCAAAATTTTACGAGTTTGACCTTCCTGGTATGCTTTAAATCCTTCTTTCTCTCATGGGCTTCATCTTTTCAAATAAAAATGAGAACATTGTTTTTGAATTCTGATTATGTTAAATTAAGAATGTTCTTTATTTTTAACTTGAGCAAGCGAATTTCTGTATTTATCTGATGTTTTCGAGGTATTACAATTAGTTCCTGCTCCTTGATTTTTTCTTTCTTTTGAGTATTTATCTAAATTTTTGAAAGCCTATATGTTTTTCTCAAGTGGTTTTAACTGGGACGACTAACAGTGAAATTTGGGTATTTCAGAGTTGTTTGAGCAGGATCTACTTGGACAATGGCTAGTGGATCTCTCATTTAATGGCTTTTATCAGCTTCTTTTCATTTTTCTAGCATTTTGGTGCTCCATAGATAGTGAAGTTGTTCCAATGTATTAAAAATGTTGCTTGATGAATTCTTGTTATCTACATTTAGCCAAATAATTTTAAGAGTTCCATCTTTGTCTGAAAATCCGATAATGTTAGATCAAGTATTCTTTGGTTCATAGAGCCTCTAAAAATAACAATTTTACATTAACGGAAATTCTATGAATGCCCTTTTATGGAAATTACATTAGCTACAAAATTTTCAAGAATAAGCCACCGTCTACGGATAAACTCTAGTGTAGTTGAATAGAGTCCTCTAGCATCAGTAGAAAAGGTGATTCATTTTGTTATCTTATGCATAAGAGCTTCAGTATCTGCAACTTATAGATTTGAAAGGTCTCGTTTATATACATGAACAAACACCTGTATTGGTTGTTACATACATTCTTAATAATAGTAAATTTCCTTAATTTCATTCCACAGTTGTATGTCTGTTGGTCTTTTTGCGAATTTGGTACTCGCAAGTAAAATATACAAAATAGAGATGAATTCTTTAATCAGTGGGAGTGGTGGTGGGGCGATAGCTCGAGTCTGCTAGTATTATTGCACAAGAGAAGTTAGTCTGTGAATGCTTTCTTATCTTTAGTGGGCATCACAGTTGATAATGTAGATCGATGATTGTGGGATATCTATTTCGTTTGACTTTTCGTACACACAGGGTACAGAATACCCTTGCAGTACAAGGGCACTATTTTTCAGTGTGTTAACAGTTTTCCCCTCTTGCATCAATTAATGTTTTACTTTTACAGCTGCTGTCTAACATTAGAGCTTAAGTTGATCATGTTATCAAAACCTTCCCCAAATGTTTTTTTATAGTCATTGACAATTGATGTAAATTTGACATTAAATTTTCGTAACTGATTACTGAAACCATTTGTTAATTTTCTCCTGGTATGCTTTTCGCTTATAAACCACATTGTCTTCCATTTTTTACTCAGTAGTTCATTGCTGGATGAATGCTTTTGCACTTCTAAGGTAGCTGAGGAGTCCATTCTTGTCAGTGTAATATTCCACATTCTTCGTCAACAATATACATCGAGTTTTCTTTCCCTGTACAACTATATATCCAGGACTCAAAGACTCTGCATCGGTCATCTTTACAATGTCTTTATTGACTAAGTTGCGCTGTATTACCATTGATGTTACTGGCACGCTAATAGCTTACAAAGGGGAGCTCGGTGACTATTATTGCATGGCTGCAAAATCAGTAGGACTGCCATGTCCTGATTATAAACGAGTACATGAGGGATTTAAACTTGCTTATACAGAGATGGCAAAGAAACATCCATGCTTTGGGTTTGCAGAAAAGATACCCAACGTTGTTTGGTGGAAAACTTGTGTAAGAGATTCTTTTGTCAGGGTAAGACTTGTTGCAAAATTGTTGATTGTGGATAGGAATGTGGGAGGTTCTTTCTAGTTTTGATGCCTTCTCACAATTTCCTATGAGCATTTATCTTCTGTTGACAGGCGGGATATGATTATGATGAGGAGACTTTTGAGAAGATTTTCAGACGCATATATGGGACCTTTGGTTCTTCAGCACCTTATACTGTATTTCCTGATTCCCAGCCATTCTTGAGATGGCTCCGTGGAACAGGCATGACAGTTGGAGTAGTAAGCAATGCAGAGTATCGGTATCAGGATGTAATCCTTCCGGCATTGGGTTTACAACAGGTTAATATGCAATTAGGTTTGATTTGTATATTTGGCTCAAACTGAATATGTCCTTAGCTTGATGTATAATCTTCGCAATTTCTTGGACTCAGGGTTCTGAGTGGGACTTTGGCGTGTTCTCAGGCCTCGAAGGTGTAGAGAAGCCAGACCCGAGGATATATCAGATAGCCCTGGAAAGGGCTGGAAATATTGCACCTGGAGAAGCTCTGCACATTGGAGACAGCATACGCAAAGACTACTATCCTGCGAAGAGCGTGGGAATGCAGGCTCTGTTGTTAGACAGATTTAAGATACCTGAAGCTGAAACTTGGAGGAAATCTGGTGCTACTGTATTACCTGACTTGGCGGCTGTAAAAGATTGGCTTTCTTCTGAGCATTTGAAATGCTAAGCAGTTTTACTCTATTATTCACTATCATGTTCATGTTTGCTCCCCCACCCGCATAATTGGAGGTGTACCTGTTTAACAGATGGAAATATTGGTGATAAATTTATTGAGGCATTGTACCTAAAATGTTTTGGGGAAATTTTATTCCACTTGAGATCTGAATGTTTTTGGGATTCCCTAGCAGCCTCTTCTTTCTCTATTAGTAGGGATACGTTTACTGACATTCTGCAAACTCCCTTCAAATTGAGTAATAAGAGTATGAAAAGATCGAAAAGTGTCTTTTAGCAAGAAAACGGTAACTTCTCTGTTTCCGCTCCAGATTAAACTCAGTGACTTAGCTAGCTAGCTATAAGACGTTAAAGTTGAATGTCTCCAACATCAGGATACAAGGACTTCAATCCACTCGAATAGGCCGATCGGTTTGGGCCGACTTTTTTCTTAAACTTTAACTGGGTTCTGCTTATCATTCACGAAGGCAGGTTGGGTTGGGTCGGTTATGGGTTGATCCATAAAAATTGATAAAAATCAACCCACCCCACCTGCCACTAAAAAAAAGGTTAAGAAAAAATGAAACACAAATGTAAAACGCAAAAACTTCAGACAGTTCACTCATGCTCAAGCCCTAAACCTAAACGCAAGGGCCCCCTGCTCTCTCTCATTCTCTCTTGCTCAAGCCCGTCCGCCGCCGCCTGCTCTATTTCCGTCCAATCTTGATGCTATTGCTGGTTTGTACTCCTTTTGGTACTCTTAGCTTCAAATTTTAAGTTGATTTTTCAAAATAGTTTTGCAAAATTTGATTCTTTGCTAAAGGATTAATGCTAAATTTGATGCTTTGAATTTGAAACTATCTAATTTGTGCATTTTTGATGGTTTTTGTACGTCCCAAGCGTTGAGAAAAACTTATTTATCGTAAAAATTGTAACAAAAATGTAAAGTGTAGAAACTTAAAGTTTCCAAGATCACAAGAATTGTTTTGCCCTAATAGGGACCCAGATGTTCGATCGTGAAACTCGATCACCCGTCGAGCATCTTCAAGAGATATTGCTCTAGATCCACCAACTTCAACCAAGAAATAGTACAAAATGTATGAAGAAAGATTTCTTCAAAGTTTCCTCTAACCTCTCTATTTACAAATTAGTAACCAAAACACTCATGATCTCACAAAGATTGTATAGAACAACCATCACTTTTACTAAAAGAACAAAGATTAAACACAAAGATCACAGTTACAAATTTTTAGAGAAACCCTACCTCACTCGGAGAGAAAAATTATCTAGAATGAAGGAGACGAAAGAGCCAAGTATCAATCCATAACAACAGACACAATTCAAGGTCAAGAATGAATCACATTAATGGCAGATCAAAATCGTTAAAATCATAGGCAAAGTCGTTTAAACTGGAAACACATTTTTAACGAAATGGGTCATAACCCGATTTTAGAAAATAAGGCAGCCCAAACACTTTTATAATCTCCACCTTGCTGAGTTATTACTTAGCATTTATTAATGGATCTGGACATCAATTGGCTTCACTTGCTCTAAGTACCCGTAAAAAGAAAATTTTTGAAGTTAGTACAATTTTCAACAAATAATGCTTGATATTCTAAATATCACTAGAAATGTTTAGAATCTTCAATCAGATTTTAAATTTATTAAGAGGCAGTACATTGGTTCCTAAAACAAGGAATTCTGTAGGAATTTTAACTAAGCATATCAGGCCTTTCTTAATCATATTTCTTATAAAATGAAATTTTATATCCACATGCTTAGTTCTATCATGATTACATGATTCTTACTAAAATTAACAGCACTTTAATTATCAGTATAAATAGTAACAAAATCAAGATTGTAGAATCTTTGTGGTTCGTCGGAATCTTCATTTTCTCTTACTTGTGTTTCTCAAGGTGGTTGAGATGGTCTTGCTAGATTCCTTGCTTATTCTGCTTTCCTCTCACGCCTATTTCTAGGTAGAGTGGACTTTTCTGCCTATTTTTAGATCCAGAGGGAGGTTAAGCTTGCCTATTCCTAGGCTATCATGGGTTTAGCCTATCGAAAATGGTTATTGACCTTCGAGGTATGTCTTACAGATCATAGTTTGGAGGAAAATTGAATGAGATCTTGTGAGGCTGATCAATAAGATAGTTGGTGGATGTATCCAACTCAACTTCCCTTTCCTGAGGGACTTCATCCCTGGCGTATTGCTAGTATTCAACCCATTTCCATGTTTACCCTTTTTTATTTAAATTTAAGAAAAATAAAAATCAAAAGATAAGTCATAATCTCATAACTATATATCGATTCCCTCCACTCTATGATGTTGCTGATAAGTAATAACACTGAAAATTTTCTTTAACGAGCTCATTATATTATACATAACATTTTTTCCATACTTAAGCAGTTAGAGTACATAATACATAAAAAGCAACAACATTTTTAAGTTTTATATTGAATCGTCTTTATTAACCTGATTTTATTTGTTGGTCAATAGTTGTTATAATCTAAGTGAACCTAAAACTCAGACAATTTTTTTTATAAAAAAAATCCAATATGAACTAAAAGTTCAAACCAACTAACCGAATCGAATCCATTTGGTTTGATTTGATTTGGTGTAAGAGTTAGAGTGGGTTAATTTGGGTTGAAATTCGTCAAAACTAACTAATTTGCATTTGGTTTCAAGTTGGAGTTAAAATCGTCAAAAACCAAATCATGCCTAGGCTTGAATACTTGTAAAAACTTTTTACACTTATTTGGTAAATAATAATCAAATTTTGTTAAGAAACAAACAGATAATAATGAATACCTAATATTGTTTCAGGATCTACATTATTATATTTTCAAATTTCTACAATGCACATCTTAGCATTATAAGGCAATAATGCCGCCATAGGTACAGGAAAAAACTTACCAAATTGGTACAAGGTTTTGAGAAATGCTAATGTGGCACAACCTTTAAAACGAGGTAGGAATAACGAAATAAAATTGAATTCTTCCTCCGCTTCAGTCATTATGCCCTAGCTTCGATGGATAGCCACCTTTACCCAATACCAAAGCCGTCGCACTAACCCTCCGACAGTGAAATCGACTGTCGCAAATCTTAACCCAAGGTGAAATCAACCGTCACGCTACCTCTCCCTCAGTTCGGTGACGAAGCAATGAAGAATATACGGAATCTCCTTCTTCTCCGGCGAAATCTGCAGCGAACATTCAGTAAACGTGATGCTTGGTTTATGCAATTGTATTGATGTGATTGGTTTAGGGATACTGTCTGATTCCAGATAGGATTTTACCATTTGTAAAGTTGTAATCTTTCTCATCATCAAAGGATCTAGCATTGTCTACTGTCCAGAAGGTGTAGTGAGTTTTATTTCATTTTAGATTTCATCTTCTGTCAAATGATACAGATACACTGTTTCTATTGGATTATGTTCAATTTTCTACTTATTGTTAGTTCCTCCTGAATGATTTAGGATATTCCAAAATTGTTGATTTTTCTTCAAGATTTAATATCTATCACTAGTGTTGCACAAAAAAAATAGCGAAACTACAAATCGAGCTAAAACCGTTAAGTTGAAACCATTCTTAAATTTTTTAATTAAATCATTAATTTTATTAACTTAATATTTTTATAGTTTTCACTTTTTAGTAAAATACCAATTTAGTAATACAAATTACAACCAGCATATTGAAATAATTATAAAAAGTAAATTAAGTTCATCATTATTGGCCTATGGTTAAACAAGTTCACAACACATATCATCACCCATTATCTAAATTAAACTAAAATTATTTCAAAATCATATGAAATGAAAAAATATATATATTCAACAACCCAAATCATAATTAAACAAAATTACGTTAGCAATTACGTTCGAAGTTTCAGAAATCCTAACATAAACTCTCATTTTCCTAACATTTGACGTTTGTCTGTCATTGCTAAATGAATCACCAGCCGTTTTTGCCTGTTAGTCTACTAATTTATACTTGAATCACCTATTTCTCTCTTCTCTTTTGGTAAATCTCAGATTTTCATTGAAGCCATTTTTCCCCTTTTTTTCTTTTATTTGTTGTTTTTGAAGTTATTATACACTTATGGTTTAAATGGAAAAAATGACTATTTGCGTACTTAGATGATTAATAAACTTGTTTGTAGTTTGAAAAGAATGAATGACGGAGTGTATTGATTGTGTGAAAATGTAAAAGTTCCCTAACTAATACTATTACTTTATATTTTCATAAAGTAGTTAGAAAATGAAATTCGTAAATTCTTAATAAACCGAAACTCTATCAATCTTTGTAACACAAATACAATACGAAACACACTCGATCTGCATACCTTGAGCATTGACTACAACATTTGTAGGCATCAGACGGATGAAATATTGTAATGGCGTCGGCATTAAACATTGTGGTAGTTGAACTGCCTGGACATCGATTGATCTCTCTTCTGTATTACTATGCCTAGCTGTAGGCCTCTTTCCTTTGCTTGATGATGCGGTGGCTTACATGTTGGACAAGAGAAATGATTATTTGTTTAAAATACTCAATCAACGAAGATGGAAATAGTAAAAAATTACATTTGCTCTCTTTGAATTGGACTCTAACGGGCTTTTCCTTTGAAATTTTTTCGGTGCGCCCTTTCTATTACACGATGTTAGATCTAATGTGTTTGCATTGCTACTTGCATGATTGGACTGAGCAGCGATTTCGACACTTGACTTTGTCATCCGCAAATCTTTGGCTTGCGATTTTATCCACTATATTATACTACGTGTCCATCCATCATCATCTGTTGTGAGGTTGGCCACCTCTGAAAAAGCCTGACACATTTCGTCGTACCTTAATTGGCCAAGAGTGCTTACCAATCCATCGTAATTTATTGCGGTCGTCATGTGTGCTCTACTGACATCTTTTCTCCATCTCCTTATTATATATTGCTCAGGCATCAACGTGATGTCATTACGGATCAAGACAACAATCGCATGCCTACAAATGATTTCCCAAAATTCAAACAGGTGGCAGCTACAAATCACTTTGCACGTATCTCTCCGAAATGATATGCCAAATGTTTTTTTCTTCCAGTGATCATGAAGTGCGACATGCTCACTAACCTCGTATGTCGACCAATAGTAATCATTTACAGTTTCAGATATGACGTTGCAATACACCTTCCTAGTGAA